TGAGGTACAGTAGTCCAGTGACACGGGCCAGAAGGCAGAAGGGGACAAGGAAGCTGGTGATAGGGAACCCAAGGTTAAGTAAGGATATTGTTGATGTATTGTGAGATTGTTAACCATTGTCATAGGGCAAAATGTGTAGTAACTGTTAAACAAAAAACTATTTTGTTCTGTAAGCCTTCATCTTAAGTGAGAATAGCAGCACAATTGGAAGAGCGCAGTTAATGTCACTGAACTGTGCATGTAGAAATTTTTGAAATGGTGTATCTTTGGCTATGTGTATTTTCACCAAAAAAAAAGGTTGAGAAGTTAGAGGGTTGACATGTTGTGGGGTTGATGACCAGTCATAAAACAATGTGTGTACTACTGTTTGATGAGAAACTATTTGTTCTGTAAGCCTTCACCTGAAGTACAATTAAAAAAAAAAAAAAAAAAAAAAGAAAGGAAAAAAAATAAATAAATAAAGACAGCTGCCTTGCTTGCTGAGGTAAGATCAGCTAGGGATCCAAGCTCAGACCTTCCTCAGCCTCCACTAGATTTACTTCCTTCTCCATCTAGCCTAGATGCACAGTGAATCCCTTCACCTACACTCCTGTCCCAGCCACACCATCAGCCCTGCTACTCCCTTGTCCTCCTATTGCACCTCCTCCACCCGCCACAACCCAGACCCACCAAATCTAGTTTAAAATACAGTTCACCTTCTCTGCTCCTACTAAGGGGAGGGAGGGAAGTCACACAACCAGGAGGACTGCCAACACACATTCCTGATGTCACATCACCATGCCACAGTCCTTCAAATGTGATGGATCTCAGGAGTGGGGAGGTGATTGTGCCCTTCCCCTCCCGGGGGACATGTGGCAACCTCTGGACACATTTCCGGTTGTCATGATTGAGGAGAGGGTTGTGTTATTGGTATCTAGTGCGTAGAGGCCACTCAATTCTACAGGATGCTGCTAAATGTCCTATATGCACAGGATAGCCTCCCACAACAAAGAGTTATGGGGCCCAACATGTCAACAGTGCTGAGAAACTGTTCTCAAAGTGTCCAGGTGGGCTCCCTTTTGTTTCTCTTAGCAGCCATTTCCCATCTTACCCACCTTCCTCAAACCCCCTACTCCACCTAAGCACTAACATTCAGCAGGCAGCCTGCGAAGTGGTAGTAGTGAGGGGCGGGGGGCAGCGCCTAGGGGGCAGGGACCACTGACAAGCTTACTTGTGCAATCATCTTTATCTCCTTCCCCTAACCCTCAGAAAACAAACGGTGCCCTTCCTCTTTGTAAGCCCAAGTCATCCCTTCCTGCCCTAGCTCTAACTTCCTGCAGTACCTTTAAGCCCCCCTCCAGGTGTTCCTGCCCTTAATCGAAAGGACTCACAAACCTACCCTCTCCCTTTATAATTTCCTTGACTCTGTGATTCCCTCCAGTTACTCTCTCCTTCCTTCCCTCCATATTCAAGAACCATAAAATAAAACCTGGAGGCCAGTGGCTACATCCTCCCAACAGATGAATTCTGTCTGGCCTGCACCAGCCAAATTTTATTATTTCAAAGTACTTGCCAACTTTGGAGCCCTGGTGGCGCAGTGGTTAAAAGCTCTGCTGCTAACCAAAAGGCCGGCAGTTTGAATCCATCAGCCACTCGTTGGAAACCTTATGGGGCAGTTCTACTCTGTCCTATAGGGTCATTATGAGTCACAATGAGGTTTGGTTTTTGGTTTGGCTTTGTCAACTTTTAAAAATTAAGATTTCACAAACAAATGCAGGTTTCCACCGTTCCCTGAAGATCCAGCAACTTTTGGGCCCCCATGGCCCCCAAAACAACTGAAGCACCCCTCTCTCTGGGTAGGGTATGGACTCTCTGTGGAGACAGACATAGTTCCAGGCACTCCCTCTTATCTCCTCCACCTGGGTCAGCTGCCAGTTATCATCTTACCCAGGCCATTTACTCACTTTTTGTGCAACTCAATTCTAAACCTACAGTTCTCCACGACCTCCTAATTTAAAACAACCAAACCCGTAGAACTGCCCCACAGGGTTTCCAAGGCTGTAATCTTTAAGGAAGCAGACTGCCACATCTTTCTCCCCTGCAGCAGCTGGTGGGTTCAAACCACCAACCTTTCGGTTAGTAGCCAAGTGCTTTAACCATCGTGCCACCAGGGTTCCTACCTCCTAATGGTTGCTGTTAGATGCTGTCAAGTTGGTTCCAACTCAGCATTCCTGTATCAACTACCTTCTGTTCCCACAACTAACTTAAAGATAGCTCAATAATAACCTTTTAGTTGCCAATAAGGCTTTTCCTTATCCTTCCTCATCTTACTCTACTTTTGGCAGCAAACTACCAACCACACCCCTCCTTTGGTATCTGTGGCTCTCCCCTCTCTAAGCTCTCCTGCCTGTCTGCTCCACCCTCAGTCTTCACGCTGCTCCTCAGTCCGCCCTTAAATATCAGGGTTCCCATGCTCCATCTCCAAAACCTCTGCTTTTTTTTTTTTTTTAAATATACACACCCTCCCTAGACAAGCACACCGCCAACGAGCTGCTGACTCCCAAACTCTACCTTAAACTCTCACCCTCTCTGGAGCTAACCAAGTGCCTAGAGAGCATCTTTTTTAATAATATTTTACTGTGTTTCTGGTGAAGGTTTACACAGCAATTTAGGTTTCCATTCAACAATTTCTACACAAGTTGTTTAGTGACACTGGTTATGTTCTTCACAATGCATGAACTTTCTCATTATTCCCATTCTGGTTGTTCCCTTTCCATTAATCTAGTTTCCTTTACAGTCTCACCATTGTTTTAAAGTAATTGTTGACCGTTTGGTCTCATGTAGGTGATTTTTTTAAAGGAGCACAGTACTTCAGGTGATATTAATTTTTGAACCAATTTGTCATTTAGCTACACGGTGACCTCAGGAGTTAGTTTAAGAGAGCATCTCTTTTTCACTGTACCACAAGCACCTCAAACTTAACAACTCAACTATCTCTTCCTTCCTAAAGCAGCTCCTCCCTATAGGTGAGGCGTCATAACCGACCAATTACCTGAGCCTGAAACCTAGGGTCTATCCTAGATTCCGATCTCTTGCCTACATTCCAACGCATCAACGCTGCTGATTCTGATGATTCTTTTTTAACTGTACCTTAGATGAATGTTTATAGAACAAACTAGCTTCTCATTAAACAATTAATATACATGTTGTTTTATAATGGTTGCCAACCCCCCACGACATGTCAACATTCTACCCTTCTTGACCTTGGGTTCCCCATTACCAGCTTTCCTATCTCCTCCTGCCTTCTCATCCTTGCCCCCGGGCTGGTGTGCACATTTAGTCTCATTTTGTTTTATGGCCTAATGTTTGGCTGAAGGGTGAACCTCAGAAGTGACTTCCAGTACTGAGCTACAAAGGTGTCTGGGGGCCTTACTCTCGAGGTTTCTCCAATCGCTGTCAGACCAGTAAGTCTGATCTTTTTTTTTTTTTTTTTGAGTTAGAATTTTGTTCTCTATTTTTCTCCAGCTCTGTCTGGGACCTTTTTATTGTGATCCCTATCAAAGCAGTCGGTGGTGGTGGCCGGGCACCATTTAGTTGTGTTGGACTCAGTCTGGTGGAAGCTGTGGTACTTGCGATCTGTTAGTCCTTTGGACTAATCTTTCCCTTGTGTCTTTGGTTTTCTTCCTTTCCCCTTGCTCCAGATGGGGTGAGACCAGTGGAGTATCTTAGATCTGATAATTATTTCTGGTGGGCATTGCCCACCCTCCATCCCCACTGCTTCTGTCCTACTTCAGCCCCTAAACACTGCCAGAATAGCTTTTTTCCTACACTCCTGCCTGAACTCTCACCCTCCCTAACCAATCCAGCTCCCACATGGGGGATTCCATGGTGATGCTTCTTTTGCAGAAACTCCCAACAACCCACTATCACAGGATAAAACATAAACTCCTTTCTACAGCATTCAAGACCTTGACGATCTAGCACCAATTAGCTGTGCAGCCTCATTTCCAGATTCTCTGCTATTCAGACTTTGCATTCCAGCAACACTGACCTACTTGTTGCCATCAGAATGTTCTGCACTCTCTTGTCTCCCAACCTTTGCAGTGTCCTTGGTCTAGAATGCTACTGCTTCCTTTCTCCACTCAAATGCTCCATGTGCTGTGACATCCCCCAGGTAAACAAACCAACTTCTACCACCACAGGTTGAACGGAACCAAACCCCTCTTCTCGTTAATAACAAGGTGTTTGTACTCACTAAAAAAAATGTCTTTGAGACCAAGTCCCCTGTGTTACCCACCTCGGTTATCTCCAGCACCTATCACAGAGCCCCACACACCACTAACTAGTAAGGCAAAGGGCATATTCTTTATCCTCTCTGAACCTCAATTCCTTACTGGTAAAACCAGGTCAGTAATAGCCCTTATGCCGGGGACCGTCTGCAAGCTTACAGAAGACTTATACGTAAGTCTGCCCACAGTAAACATCTACAAAAGGTGTAAAGGAACTGTTGACATTAAGGGCAGCAGCCACAGAGCTTTTTCCCAGCTCCAAATCGATTGCAAGAGACTGCGTGATCTTGCACAGCTGAGTCTCCTGAGTCTCCGTAAGTCTCGAAACCCCGGATAACAGAAGCTAGCTCCTGGGGTCCTAATGAGGATTAGCAACGGCTGATATGTTTTCACCACAGTGGCTAGCACAAAAGAAAAAGCTCAATAAACGTTAGCCATTACGGTTGTTAATAATCAGAATGTTTTACCAATAAAAAAAAGGGGGGAGGGGAGTGGTCAGTGGGGGAGGGGAGCAGAAATCCTAAGTCTGCAGAACCGGCAGAGCCTTGCGGCTCCTCTCGGGGACCTGGGCGACCTTCCCACATGCGCCGGGCCCCAGTCCCCAACCCCGGCAGCTGGGCCTACTCGAAGGCCGTCCGCCCGCCCGCCAGACTCATAAGGACCAGGGAGGCGGGAAGCGAGGCCTCACGTGCGGCGCTGCACCCTCCCGGGGGACGGCCCCCGGCTACTCACTGAGCCACAGCTCCAGTGCCGCCGCCGGCCCCGGGGGCCCCTCCGCAACCTCGGTTCCCTCCGCCGGCCCGGACCCCGCTGCCACCGCAGTCGCCGCCATTGACCGAGCGCCGCTGCTGTAGCCACAGCTGCTTCCGCGCCTCTCAGCAGCTGCTACCGCGCGGCTCGCTCTGAGGCTGACGACGCGGCAGGCGCGAGTGGGCACGTGACGGGGCCGGGGCCGCCCTGCCCCGCCCCGCCCACTGCGCCAGATCCCGCCTCCGCGCAGGCCTGGAGGGGGCGCGTCCTCACATGGATCCCCCACCGCGCGCTTTCATGGCTTGCTCTCACTACTTAAGACCAGTACCAAGGTCAAAGCCAATCAAACTAACATCTCAAGGCCTGCGCCGTCTCTTGCTTCAGAAATAGGGTCACCACAAGGACTAGAAGGCAGAAGGGGACAGGAAAGCTGGTGATAGGGAACCCAAGGTTGAGTAAAGACAGTGTTGACATGTAGTGGGGTTGGTAACCATTGTCAACGGGCAACACGTGTACTAACTGTTCAATGAGAAACTATTTTGTTCTGTAAACCTTCATCTAAAGTGAGAATAGCAGCA